ACTCAAACTCTTATCCACCCCACCCTACCCTCTCCCCTCATCTGATATGGTTTGGTGTTTCTTTAACATAGAAAATATTTATCATTATTGTTGTTGAGCATTGATTTCATATTCTAATGGAGCCTCCACATATCCACATATTTACATTTAGACAACAGTAGCATCTAATTTGCACACACAATGGAAAACAATATAAATGTATAATATGTATATATACACACACACATAATAATTATATATATATATATATATATATATATATATATATATATATAAATAAGGCTATAAGAATAAGAATACTTTTAAAAAATTGAGTATCTCGGTCTTTCTGCTGGGGTGTTGTATCCCTTTCAGACTGGGTTGGCCTTGGCAGGTAGCGCCGGAGCCATCCTCTTAGGAATATTAATGATCTAAATTGTGTTGCTGGGGGCATAAAAACACTTTCATTCAAATTTTTTAAAAGGAAAACAACTTAACTGTGAAAACTTCGGTCCACTGCAGCATCATATCGGTTCTTACACTTAAATACAACACATATGCAAGGCATTTTTACTAATTGACTTGTCTAATCTCAAGGACCTCGGAATAAAACCTTCCGTCTTATCTAGATTTCAGTGCGTAAGTCGGGGATTCGCGCAGCGCAGGTAGACCACAGTTCCGCCGCGAGAGAGGGTTCCTATCAGGCGTACGGTGCCGCCGACAGAGCATCCTCCATTACTTTTAATCTCCTTGATCTAGATCTAGATCTAATACTAGATTTTTTCCTTAAAAATTCAAAAATAAAATGCCCAAATCCAGTTGAGTGCAGCAAACTGGCAAACTCAACTAGATATATATTCTAGATCTAGAAATCTAGATAGAATCTTCTAGATATATATAGAAATCTAGCATTCTCAATTCTCATCTTCCAGTTTGTACACTGGTCATGAAAATAAATGCGTTATGATGGCAATAAATTTATAAGAGCAGACAAGATTTTTAAAAGGTACATCATCAGTTTCCATCTATAGTCCGTCTATTGTATTAGAATCTATACTACTATACCGTCGCTACTGACGTTATACAATAGGTAATATAGATCTCTACACCATGTGATGTACTAAGGCTAAGGCCTGCCTATATATAACATAATAATTTACAGTCTATACAGTCAGAGGCGGCTCGTGGTTAATAGAACTGACCGGCGGTCATTCACGTCGACCATTTTTCCCTCCCCCACCCCCTTTCTTCACAACACACACACACACACACACACACACACACACACACACACACACACACACACACACACACACACACACACACACACTTGCTCTCTCTCTCTCTCTCTCTCTCTCTCTCTCTCTCTCTCTCTCTCTCTCTCTCTCCTTATTTTATACCCCTACTTTCGCAATCCCCACCCCCTCCCCCACTCACACACACCACAGTAAACATTGTAATAATGTGAAAGAGCCAAAATATGCGGTAGCGTCAAGAAACTATATTATGAATAATGTAAGATGGAAGTTACTGAGATTACTAGAAACTCACTTGATCGGCACAGAAAAAGAAACACACTACTTGAGTCTAAGCTAGAAAACAAACAGAAAGTGAGAAGCAATAAACCGCTGGTCCTGGCCTCCAGTACAGTACTTTACTCGTACTTTCTACACCCCCACACAAAATATCGACGTGCACTGAACTCGTTAAATATATGTAATAAGAACTGTCCTGAATGATGACAAAAAGTCAATTGCTACTGTACCAGTGACGCTGTCCCAAGCACATCAAGTCTACAATCAGATGCTTAACAAAGCTGGACAAAGCACACACGTTTCCGATCATTATATCATCAAATGTACTTCATCGCACTTCTCAGTTCTCAGAACTGAACACTGAACACTGTGTTGTAACAAAGTGGGGAAGTGTGTCAAATGCTAAATATAGAACTTGGTGTTCAGCTGGGGTGAGGGTTGAAAAGGGGAGGGAAGGGAGGGGGTTTTCGACCCAGACTCTGACAGCCGAGTGTCTATCGCTCCTCGTTAAAATTTTCCTTTATATATCTTCACTAGACGATTCCTTCTTTCGCCGGCCAGACTCCTAAGTCTAAGGGCGAGGCAAGTTATTAGAGGGGAGAAAACGATGAGTAAATACCAAACAGGAACTGTAGGTGGTTAAAAAGCCAATAAACAAAAAAGAGTAGTGCCATGCTGACAATAAATGTTCTGATAGTAGTTAGAGAAAGGCTGAATGATAAATACATGTTTTGCTGGTAAAATAGTACATGTGTCTGTGCTGCTCAAGACAGTCTCATTCTTAATTTTGTAAACAAAGAGGCCAATCTGGCAATTAAGGGTTATTCTAATATTTCTGTGGGCTGACGGTGGATTTGTCCACCGCCGTGTGTTTGTTTGGCTTTTGTACGTAGTACGAACAAAGATAGTACATCCTACGATAAGATGTTGCAGTGGCCCAATTTTGTGAGGCACGTCGACTCCTAGCGCCACTAGCGGCGAGCGTG